GCCTTGCGAGATGGTCGCTTCGAGATCAAGCCCCCTTCGGTCTCCTCCACAGCAAGGGTCGCCTTGGGAACAAGTTGGAGCCGAGAATGAAGTGCCTGAAGATTATCGCCGCTCTCCTCCTCGTCGCCGCTTGCGACGGCGCCGCCGCCCGCAGGGCCAACCGAAGCCTCTCGTGCCAATGGCCCTGGCGCGCTTCCCGAGGCTCGCGGGCCAAAGGCTTCGGCGTCGGCAAGTTCCCAATATCTGACCCGCGCCCCCCCCCCCCCCCTGAACCTGCTGCTGCGCCAACGCATGCCGCTGCCATTCCTTCGCCTCCTCGCGCAGACGTGGACGAGGTTCGGCAATTTCAGCTCGCATGGCAGTTCCCAGGTCGCGGCGACGCTCCTCAGCTACTCGTTCTCGCACCGTCGCAGGTCAAGTCGCGATTGGTGGGTGGCCGCGATGGGCAGTCAACCACTTGTGATTATAGTGCTTGTCTGTGTCGCTGAAGCACTCCTTCCTGGGCCCCCAAACGCTGGTCGCGGACGAGAATGGCCGATCTGGCCTGGTCCTTGGCCCGCTGCATCATCATCTCGGAATGCGCCCGCACCTGCCGTGTCTCCGAGAAAAACTCCTCCGATGGGGCCATTTCCTGGGCAAGTGGCGTCGGCTCTGGAGAACTGGGTGCGGACGGGCGCGCAACAGGACGTCGCATTGTAGGTAACCTACTGTCGGTGGAAGGAAAACCCAACCTCTGAAGTGGCTCCAATTGGTTTCAAGTATTTAACATCCACCACTGGGGCAATGTTCGGCGGCGCAATGAAGGGGCTGCCGTCTTTGGCGGTGGCAGCGGCGCTGGCGGTTGCGGCGGCCAATGCGAGGGCACTCCAGCTGCGCCAATGCCAGCACCCTTGGTTACAACTGCAAGCGCACACCTTCTGTCACGTCCATCCCCGCTTCCTGCACCAGGGGATAGAGAATCGCGATTAAGAGCTTCAGCCAACAAGTCTGCCCACGAATGTAACGTCTGTTCATGAAGCACCATTTCTACGGTGAGCGTCTCGATCTTCTGCTTGACGTGCAGCATTTGATCCTTCGCTTTATTGATGACATCTCGAACTTCCTTATCCTGTTGAACACAGGTAAGCATCTGCCACTGCATGTATCGAGGAACTACCATTTACTGTTTTCTGCGGCTGGGCAGATGCTCGCGCCTCTTCACACCAGATAGAGATATCTGCCAACACGTTCAGCTTTGACGTTGACGTGACCTCTTGCTTTCGTTTCTGTTTTATTATTTTTTTGGGGGGGGGCACTTCCCACCCTTTGTTAGTTGTTTATCTGTGACAGCTTAGACCAAACCACCCTGCATGCACGATGTCTCCGTGCTTGCATTCGGAGACGAGCTTCAAATTGCTGGGACGGTGAGCCAGGCAAGTTGTCGGACTGAGGAGTGCATACTGAGGAATGCATCACACAGCATGGAGCTTAAAAGACACTGATCAGGGTCCATCCCACGAAAAAAGGAGGAAGGGGAGAAGCCAGGGCGAACCCTCAGGCGACCCAGACGACCTCGGAGCCCAAGAACCCATCCACTGAGAGAATAACTGCTGGAGCCTAGGACATACCAAGTAGTGAACCATATCATCAAGGTCAGGGAGATGGGACGATGAGGCAGGACATCCAAAAATACAACCTCTGGGAGCGGCATGAAAACGTGCACTCGTACAAACACATCTGGACAGCATCCGAATATTGGCCAGCGGCAAATACATACTAGACCTCTTAGCCAGGGACTTAGCCAGGCAGCAAACATAAGTAATGTGCTCAATGGAGACCCCAGGGATCCAGGCACACGCACGACGAAGGAGAACTTCCTGAGGGGGGACGGCGGGTTGGTGGTAACGGCTCAGCGCCTTCATATATTGCTTCTGGATATCTTTACGTTCATATTGAATACAGAGGCCGCGCGATTGAATCGTATCTTGAAACTCGAAAAGGTTCGTGAGGAAACTGTTCACGAACCAGCCCCGCCTCTGCCGATACGGGCACCACTCATCATCAAGAAAGATGCGTGATACAAAATCTCGAATTCGAGGAAGCTCATCGCACCGAGCAATGGATCTGGCCCGCGATGCATCAGCTATCAAAGAGAGCCGCGGGAACTCCACTGGAAGGCCGAGCGCGCACAAATTAGTACACATATCGTACGAGATGGCATTGTTCGGGCCGGCGGTGAGGAGACGAACACAAGACTGATAAACTTTATCCAGAGCAGGAGTAAGACAGTGAAGCTGGAGAACAAAATACACTAAAAAGACACAAAACGTTTTGAATAACATGATAGATTGAGCCAGCCCAAGACCAAGGTCACGGATTTCACGGGTACGCTTTTTCAATTTGACCGCCGTCTCCAGAAGAGCAACTTCTTGACCTCTTGCTTTCGTCTTGGGAGATTCCGGACTGCTGGTGGCGGCTGATAAAATGGACGCCGTTCAGAAAAGTCTCTGGTACACAACATGGCGTCGTGAATGCGATTCCGGATCTTGGTACGATGGCGCTGTGAGTCCTGTGCACGTCTGTGGTCCTCTTTCGAGCGAGTATGGTTCTCCTTCACGGTTGTCGCACATCTGAAAATCCTCCATCTGCAATCCGTGGTAAGATTCTGCCCACCACAAGTGACGCATGTCCAACCTTCACCTCGATAGTGCCTCTGACCTATTTTCACGGTATCCCTCGTACAGCGATGGGCCGCCAAGCTCCTCCTTGCTGCGTCCAGCCGAAGCAGCAGTCTCGCCTGCGCCCTCAACCGCCTCTCCCGCCGATGGCGGGCTGGTGGGCGCCTGCGCCTCTGCCCCGCGGGCGTCTGCGCTGGCGCCCCGAAGGGCCTGGCGGCCGCTCCTGGGCCGCGCCCCATCTGATGGATTCGGCGGCGCCCTGCGCGCGCGCCGAGGGCAGGGGGAGGCGCCCCCCCCGCGCACAAGAGAGGCACGGTTTCTTGGGGCCTCTCGGGGCTCCTTTGGCCCCTCGATCGAGCTCTGGTGCGGCCGGCTCATCGAATGCGCCTGCAGCTTGTCGTGGCTCTCCCATGTTCAACCTCCCCTGTTGTTGCGGGGCTCAGCATTCCCACCACTACCAGCGGGTGATTCTGGGGGAGGTGCTCCGCGCACCCCCCGAAGGCAAACGAGATTGCCGTTTTCAGTATTCTGGGGGTCCGTTACCAGAAATGCTTGGGAATTGGATGTCCAACCATCGTTTTACGATGTTTAGACATGCGCTCTCGTGATGTTCGCATGCGGCATGGGATTTCTAGAAATCGCTGTTCGATGTACATGTGTTGCTCTGAATATAAAAGCGGCAGGCCGATATTGGGAAATATCGAAGTCGAATGGCCCATCCACGCCAGTGAAGCAGGCAGTGACCCCAACCCCGCCATTGGGGCAGACAACATCCCCGAACCTCGCCGTAGCAGCACATGCAACCATGCGTTCGTTTTGAAGCCAGGCGCGCAGGAGCAACGTTGTGGACGCCATTCGCGAGACTCTTGGTTATGGCATGTTTTCTGCTGCGTGCTAATTGCTTTCTGCAGGTTGCTGCTACCTGCTATTTCTGCGCGATGCTGCTTAATGCTTCCTGCTGCTGCCTGCTGTTGTTGCCTGCTGCTACTCACTGCTGCTCGCTCCGCTGAGGCTAGCTGATGGTCGCAGGATTCTTGCGGGAGTTTGGGGAATCTCCGGGGCTGTCGCGTAGCGTTTGGGCGGCCTCTGAGGGCCTCTCGGGTTGTCACCCGGGGGTCGGGGCCCGCTCGGGGAGTCTTGGGGCGTCCTGGGGTGCTCCTCAGCTCCGAGGGCCCTCTCGGGGAATCTTGATGTTCTGTCGGCACCAGTGCGCCTGCAGCTTGTCTTGAGTTTTTCGTGGTGATTATCTGCCACCGCACGTCGGCGGCGACCTAAAAGCGGCCGCAGGCAGCGGTGCTGCGGTGGCCTCGATGGTCGCAGCTTCGGGCGCAGTGGTGCCGACAAACTTCGCATATGCCTCTCGGCGTACGGCAAGCCTGACGGAATACAGTAGGCAGGCATCCTGGAATCTCAGTTCACGATGCTGCCGGCGTTCGCAACATCGCCACCATGGGCATACGAAGCCCATGCAGCCTGTGGGCAAAAAGTCTCCTCTACAGTCCCCCTTTGGAACCCTCCAGGGAGTGGCAGTCCCGCTCGTCTCTCGAACTGCTCAGGGAGCAGCCCGCCTCCGAAGGTCACAGCAATCGCCGCCGCTGCTCTGGAGCAGCGATGGCTCTGGCGCGCGCGCACGCCAAGAGCCACAGGCTGAAAGACCTGTTGCTCGTGCGCGCCAGCTTGCGCTGGTGGCCCACCTCTTGACCGCCGCCAGCTTGGCGAGGGCGTCGCCCTCGATGTCCTCAAACGAGCGCCCGTGGCTCAGAGGCAGAAGGTGGAACTGGAATTCCTGTACAAGAGGGGCTGGACCTGCAGCCTGCGCCCTCGCCGTCGCCGCCTGTGCAGCTCTTGACCAGCACAGGCCGTTCACATCTCGCTCGGCTCCAGCGGCTGAGCAAGCAGCACTAGTGGAGGCAGGCAAGACGCAGGTGGGCCACTGCGGCTTAGCAACAGCCAAGATCGTGTGGCAGAGCCCCAGGGAGGGGGGAGGGCTGGCCATGGCCACCTGCCGTTGCTACCGGGCAAACACAGGGATGATACAATTTTCCACGACAAATCAGATCCATACCTGGCGAAACTTGCCAGGATGTCTGGTAGGCCCCTCCTCGTGAGATTCAACGAAAAATCGGGAGCCCCGCCGAGTTTTCACTGACATCAACCAGGATTTCGCAAGACGGAACGGCGCCACGTCATGGCGGGCGCGGGAGCAGCGCTGCCTCGAACCACACGTAATCGTCCCATGTTGCTCGTGAAAAATGTTGGCCGTGGATGCGACGGACCTCATCCAAAAGCAAGAAAAATTGATGAGGGGCATATGGAAACCACAAACACAAGTAAGGAGCCAGCGTCCAGGGAGCCGTCGACCGAGAACCCGTGGCTGCACTTATACTCTACCTGGTCACCAGCCGAGAAGGTGACCTGGAAGGCGGCAGCAATCGGTAGCGGGGACGTCAGGTTTGACAACGACGACGACGACGACGACGACGACGACGACGACGACGACGACGACGACGACGGCGACGACGGCGACGACGACGACGACGACGGTCACGCCGACATATCACGCAAGCCTTTACTAGCACGGACGCATGGTGGGCTCAACACACTGTGACGGACGCAGAGCGCACACGCATAGTCCAATCAGATCGCATGAGGGGCAGTTGTACGTATATCCGCCACCGTGCCGCTGGGCACGGAGTGGGCGTGTCCTCGAGTTGTTTGCCCAGTCCTCTAAGCCTCATTCCTAACTCCTGATGGGTCTTCAAAGGGCCTGGAGCCCCAATTGCCAAATTTCCCTAAGCTTGGCGCGTCTTGTCGTGGCTGATCGCGTGATTTTTGTTCGGGGCCCAGGGAGCCCCAAGACGGGCCAAAGGGGCGCCAAGAGATCACAACAACTGTCCAAGAGGGACCCGATTCGCCGAACGATCGCTCCAAGACGCTCAAGATGGCCCCCAGACGGCACAAGAGGCCTCACAGACGCCCCAAGAGGCCTCCAAGAGGCTTCCCAAGAGGGCCCCAAGAGGCCAAAATTATTGCGGCGGCGACCGCGTTGCCAGGGTGTCCCGCTGCAGAGGTCGTTCGGCCGTCCGCGCAAGGGCGCCCAGCTCCGCAAAGGAAAACGTTCTGGCACGCAAACACCGATATTTCTATCGGGCCCCAGCGGGGGCGATTCAGGTGTTTGAAAGTTGTTGGCGTTTTCGCCTTTTCGGCGTCTCGACGCTCCCAGACTGCCCTAGAGGCCCCAAGATCGCCCTAAGAGTGCCCTCGAGGCTTCCAAGAGGGCCCCAAAGCGGCCCAAGGGGCCCCAAGACGGCCCAAGAGGCGCCCAAGACGGCCCAAGAGGCCCAAATAACGGCACCAAGAGGAGGCCCAGATGGGGGACCCAGACGGACAGTTCTAACCCTCGGCCCCGAGGTCGCCCCAGGAGGCCCCAAGAGGCCCCCAAGAGGCCGCCAAGAGGCCCCCAAGAGGCCCCCAGGAAGCCCCGAAACTGCCCCCGAGAGGCTCCGAGGGCGGCCCGAAGGAACCCCAGGAAGTGTCCCCGAGAACTCTGACCCACCACCCACGCACGGCGGCGGGATGGGCCGCAGGCCACCAGACATCCGCCACCGCCCCCCCTGGCACGTGGAGGCGCGCTTAGAACGCCAGGTGCCGTCACATGCGAACCCTACCCCTACCCCCCTCAGAAACCGTGGGGGTATGGGGTAGGGTTCGCATGTGGCCCCCTAGGCGTCGGAGATACCCAGGATGGTTCCTCGCAAAGCCAAGGCGGGCCACCCGACGTGGCGCCAGAGGCCTTCATGACGGCCCAAGCGACCTCCAAGACGGCCCAAGACGGCTCCAAAGGAGCCTCCAGCAAGGCCCGAAGAGACCAAAATGAACGTTTTCTGATTCGGCGGTTCGTCATTGGGCGGAAAGGGGAGGGGGGGTACGGCTCCAGACCTCTGCTTAGCGCGACTGTTTGCAACAGTGCGTCCGATGGGGGGGAGACTCCACCTGCTCGAAACAGGCGCCAAAAACAGTCAAGATCTACTCCACGGGGGGGTGCGAGGGCCCGCGCCGATCGGCAGAAGAATGAATAAAAAAACGCTCACCATTGATGTCCCTCTGGGCTTGAAAGATGTTCGCGTTTTCGCCTCTTCGAGCGTCCGAGGCTTGTCACTGCTGTCCGGGGCCTCGCCTTCTCTCGAGCCGCCGACGCCCCAGGACGACCCGCAAGGCCGCCGGGAGTGCCACAAGACGGCCCCAACAAGGCCCACAAGAGGGCCGCAAGACGGCCCAACAGGGCTCCAAGATGGCCCAAAATGGCTCCAAGACTGCCCAAGAGAGCCCCAGGACGGCCCTAACAGGGGCACAAGGGTGCGAGCACGAACCAAGAATTCCAGCCTTCTGCCCCCATAGGCCCCCAACAGCCCAGCGGCCCCCCTTGCCTGCTCGAACAGCTGTCACCCGGAAGGCTGCGCTGGCAAAGTGTCGGAATTGCTGGAGACAGCTGGATACCGAATTGGGGCGATGCATATAGGACAACAGTTCTCTGCCTATCTAGGATCACCCTTCTTGAACAAGATTGCCCCAGCAAAGCACCCGAATAGCAGCTAAAGAGTGGAGGCGAACGGACGCCTAAAACGGCGGCTTGCGAGAACGGCCTGATCAGATTATCGATACGATTGCGGAGCTGAATTTGCTGATGAGGATGGCGGTTACCATGTCAACATGCTGGCATGAACGCGCTTGGAACAGAATTAGGGACCAAGCGACCCCACCCCTGGCAGCTGGAATGGTGAGAAGCGAATGGCCCTGGCACAATTTCTGAACTTAGGACAGCTGGAATGGTGAGAATCCGATGCCCGTCACAAGTTCTGACCCTGAACACCATAGCGAGCCTCATTGCTGGATCTGAGAGGACTGGAATCGAGCCAGAACACTCGACACCCCCTTGTGGAAGTTCTGGCGAAAGGAATATTTGAACCGAACTCGAACCAGAACATTAAAATGAGTCACACTAATCGACCAAATCGACTCAGCTAGATCTGGGAGGGCTGAATTGAGACAGAACACCATAGTGAGTCTTATTCCTGGGCAAGATCGAGATAGAACACAAAGTGAGCGCTGCTGGATGGAGCTGCCAAATCGCGCCGCCGCGCCAGTGAGACGCCTCCCTCTGGCCCCCCGTGAAGATTCTGGTGAGTGGAATAGTTGAACTCTTTGAAAGCCCTCTAGCGAAACGCTATTCTGGAAGTAATGTTTAAAACGCCCCCAATACTCCAGGACGAGAGTCGGTGCTAAAAACGTCAGCTATGAGCTAAAAGCGAAAGATGCTTCTGTGGCCGAGCAACTTCGCAACGGAGCCTCCCTCGTCTGGTGCACTTCTGGGCCGCATGCGTTTCAACAGAGAACGCACCACGTGGGGCGTGACGTCAGGCACTGGGCCGAGGGAGCCCTCACAACAATAATCACCACAAACACCGCCATACCGAGATTCAAAGAAACTTGCGAACACCTCCGCAATGTCATTGATCTCCATCTTTTCTACCCCTTCTCTGCCGATCACTTTACAAACGAATGCTTGTTTATAGCTGTTCCAGATGTCAACGAGCCGCTGTAAGTCCCTCAACTCTGCGAAGACACTGCTTGTCCCTACGCTCTTCCACGCGCGAGTGACTGCTCGAAATTCTATCCGGATCGATCTGCCTGAGCTGTACCATTGGCTGCCCCGGCAGCACTCTGGTGCTGTGCCCCACTCCTGCACTGTGTGGACGCGTGCGTCGCTTGGCCAACAAGAACAACTCGGTGACAAGAGATTGATTTCTGCTAATATTTTATATTTTCGCTTGCCAAGTGCTAGCTCCTCAACTGCGAAAGCGCAACAAGAGATGGCGTACCAGAGCAGAATGGGCCTCGTCCTTCGCGCACGTCCCCCAGCGAGGCCGAACCATCCTCCTCCTCCTC